GAAAATTAAAAAATATTTTCCTATGGGAAAATGCAAGAAACCTAAAAACCTAAAAACCTAGACACCTAAAGAAGTGTGAAACATTTTCCCACGGGAAAATTAAAAAATATTTTCCTATGGGAAAATGCAAGAAACCTAAAAACCTAAAAACCTAGACACCTAAAGAAGTGTGAAACATTTTCCCACGGGAAAATTAAAAAATATTTTCCTATGGGAAAATGCAAGAAACCTAAAAACCTAAAAACCTAGACACCTAAAGAAGTGTGAAACATTTTCCCACGGGAAAATTAAAAAATATTTTCCTATGGGAAAATGCAAGAAACCTAAAAACCTAAAAACCTAGACACCTAAAGAAGTGTGAAACATTTTCCCACGGGAAAATTAAAAAATATTTTCCTATGGGAAAATGAAAGAAACCTAAAAACCTAAAAACCTAAAGAAGTGTGAAACATTTTCCCACGGGAAAATATAAAAATATTTTCCTATGGGAAAATGAAACCTGTGGGACTGTGGGAAAGTTTCGAGTGTTGAAACTTTCCGGGAAAAATTTTCGTTTTTTTTTTTCCGGGAAAAGGAAATTCTTCATCCTATGTGCTTAAACACCTTGAGTGTTGTTCCATTGTTCTCCGACTTGTGACACCATTGTTGGTATGAACTTTATTTGAGAATGAAAAAAATCTTAAAACAAGAGAATCTTTTTTGTTATGATTCAATAACTGTTCGCTTGCGGATGTTGTTGTTGTAATAATCTTCCATAATGTACTGTTGTGAATATTGTATTTGGATCTAAGCGATGATCAACCTCTTGTTTTTGTTCGATATTATACATGCCCAAATGTAACATATTGTTTGTTATTTTCAGTTTCCGGAGTTTAATGTTCATTTGTGCTAATATCTCTTTACATAATGGTGCTGTAAATCTTGGATCAATTTGACGCATTACACAAATATCATAATTTTTTTGTCTATATTTGCGACTTCCTTTTGTATTACGACGTTTCTGTTGTTTTTTGGTTCTTGCTGGTTTAAATTTTGTTGTTTGAATCAGTTGTCCGGGTTTATTTGTTGATGACAATTGAGCTGTTCGATGACGTGCATTTGAAACGATGACTGTTCGACTATTTTCTTCTTGCATTTTTTCAACCATATTATGTTCGGGGGCTGATGATTCTTGTTGTTGTTGAAAGAAAACCAAGAATGACGGTGATGGTTCAATCGTCAAAACACCAGAATTTTGTTCTTCCAACTCCTGATCGGATACTGGCTCATAATCTCCAATATCATAGGCAGATGAATTTTTCGCCTGTACTGGTGATTGATCTATTGGTGAGATAACTTGATCGGACTGTCCATGTACACGGTCAGTCAGTTTCGAACTCGGTTCAACTTGTAGAGAAAAATTATCAGAGGACGATAATGATTGTTGAACTGGTCGTCCATTTTCACGGTCGACCACATTAGTTCTTGATATTGTTCCTGTTCATCTTGTATCAGTTGTTCTGTATATGATTGTACATATTTTTCCCATGTGTGTGCGAATTTTTCTCCAATATCTAATTTTGACCAATTATTTTTAACCGCCACTTGAAGTCGGGTAACAGAAAAACAATCATAGCTGGCATATTGTGTCATTCCTGATTTTACTTCAGCTGGTGGTACAAAATCCTGATGCTGTCGATAAGAAGAATTTCGTATATCAAGGCCACATGACCATTTTGATAATTGATATCTTTTGTCTAACGACTGATTCAATATTATTCTTATAGCGTCCTGAAGTGACCATGTGTTACCCGGATTCTTGTGTTTTCGATGTTTACAAATACAATTCATATAATCTGCTTGTTTAATACCATTTAAATGTGTAGTGGGCACTTTGTTTCCCAAGAAAACATATTCATCCAATAAATTATCTTCGTCGTCCTTCTGTACTTGACATTCCGGTGTATGAGGATGTTGTCGATTGTACCATTTTTTAAAATGATATTGAACATCATAGACGACTGGTAATTCACTGTATTCAAATAAGCCAAATATGTCAAAAAATGTTCGTTCGTCGAAGTTCTATTTTTAAGTCTAGAACCTTAAAATACCCTCCACTAGATTTTGAACAAGGAACCCGAAAAACATTGTTTCGAGACTCCAAACTTATATGGAACAAAATTAGGCGTTCATTTCTGCAATTCTGATACGTTTTGAGC